TTAACCCTAGAGAGGTGTTCTTGGACTTTTTAGAAAGCTTAGGATGTCCCCTAAGAAACCTTTTTTGTCTCATCTCAATTGAGTCTTCCATGTTCATGTATGAAGCTTTGATCCAAAAGGTGTTTTTGTTGACTTTTCAAAGGACCTATAATGTCAAAATTCATATCTTTTTATGAGTGCATATTTTGAACTTGTGAGATGAAGATGAATTGTAGGGAATTTCATCCTATTAAAAATGAGCTTGGATGGAAAATTTCTGATAAAGCATGAAGGAGTTATGCTTGGTCAAAGTTGGGTTGACTTTTCCTACAAAACCCTAATTTAGCAACTTTTGGGTTTCGATGAATTTGGAGTATTCCTTGAGGAATCATGATCAACCCTTGATAAAATGATGGATAACACTTCAAAAATGATGATGTTGACCAAAAATCTTGAAGTTTGACTGTATGTGGGCCACAATTGACTTTTGACCTAGTATATTCGATTCTCAAGCATTTGAGCAGTTGGCTGGGCAAACTTCTTGTGCAAGACATGAAACTTGACATGTAGGGTGTTGAGAACATAATAAGACTATGGAGAGCATAGGAGATCTTTTTGGTCCTCTCATCTTGATGAAAAATGAAACCCTAATTTGAGGTATACTGCCTTAAGAGAGAGTTGGTCTAGTAAACTCTTGGACTTTCTTGAGCAACTTAGGGACCTCAATTGACATGTATTGAGTAAAATGAGAGGGCAAATTTTGAGGTACAACAAGTACTAACAACAATATCACCTGAAACCAACATTACCATAATAGTTATCAGTGTCACCCCAATCAAGATCCTGCTCAAAGGTTTCAGTAGCGACTCTAAACAAAATTAAAATTAATAACAATTAGGTTAAGTAAAAAATTGAAATTGATGAAAGAGGGAGATGAAGATAGTGAAAGTGATTACCTTGGGTTCACTGTCGATGTACAGAACGACGTCGTTTCGGTAATGCAATATGGAATTTCCGGTTTTAAGATTGAAGCGGATAAGGGCGGCGCGACCAGATCGAGGGTTGAAGGCAAATATGGATTTAAGGGAGTGTTTGTGGAGGATCTGACGGACATCTAAACGGTTTTGTTCCAATCTCAAAAAAATGGCACTTTTGGAATGGTGAGAAGAGAAACCACCGCATCTCACTCAGTCCAAGCGCCGCACCACCACAAACCGAAGCACACACCGTTGTTGTTTCCGTTCTCTTTTCCAACACGAGAGTTCAGCCATCTTCAATCACGTGTCTCTATCACTAGGACACATAACCATAACTCCACCGCTGATTTACAATTCGTCATCTCAGATGCAATCTCACGATTTTAACGGAAATCTAGTTAGGTTAAAAAAGGAGATCTCAAGAAAGTTGAGAGAAATAAATGAAATGCAGAGAGAGAGAGAGAGAGAGAGAGAGAGAGAGAGAGAGAGAGAGAGAGAGAGAGAGAGAGAGAGAGAGAGAGAGAGAGAGAGAGAGAGAGAGAGAGAGAGAGAGAGAGAGAGAGAGAGAGAGAGAGAGAGAGAGAGAGAGAGAGAGAGAATAAGAGAAAGGAATGATATAGAATGAAGAGAAGGGTAAGAAAAAGGAAGAGAGAAAGAGGTAAAAGAAGAGAGTGATAATAGACTATTGATTTGGGAAAAGAATTGAAATGGAAAGAGAGAAGACGAAAATGAGTGATTTCGTAACGGCATGTGATGAGTCAATAGAATAAAATATTATAAAGAATTAAGATTTGAAACCAATTATTTTCATATTCTAATGAAGCCATTTTGGAATGCGAGGACACGAGAGTTTGAATGGGTAAATTCACTTTTCATATAAATGAGTAGAATTGGCGTCCCTACTTTCAATTCTAGAACTGCTTAAACAACCCAGAATTTCTCGACCTAGTTAGTTATTCATGGGAAACACCACAGATCTAGATGTTCTTATCTCACAGCTTCAACAAACATACAAACAAGTTAAAACTGACGAAACATCCATGCGATTAGAAGATTTGTTTCCAGTGTTTCGCAAGTTCAAGCTGCTCTATAATGATCTACTGAATCCACCTAGAGAGGATATCAAGCTTCTCATCAAAGAAAACCACGCCGAACCAAGGTTTGACAAAAGGAGGATTTCGAGGGAAATTCTTGAAGAGCATTTTCAGAAGAAAATAACTGGTGTTTCTCAGAATCCGGAATTTACGGATGATTCGGATTGGTTTTCGGATTGGGATTCGGATATACCGTTGAGTATATTGGAGCTTGAAGTTGCATTGAATAAACAATACGCTGATAGTATAAATGATAGGGATATGGTTACATACGGGGTTGTTGAGACTGTTGTTGTTGCTGCTTCTAGTGATGGTGGTGGTATCAGTGGAATTCATCCACCTTTGATTAAGGCGCCGAAATTGGCTCCGATAAGGGAAGCGGAAGTTGGTATTGGTAGGGTAAGTTTGAAGAGAGAAGAGGAAGAGGGGGTGGTGGATGATATGAATAGGATAGCTGAGATTCTTGTTAGCCTTTCAGAATCATCTTTGTTTAGTACTACTTACAATGAATATGATTCATCTAGGACTGCCATGGAACCTAGGTCCAATAATGTGTCTCCTAACGGGAGAATTAAGCATATTATTATCCCTGGATGCTGGCAAAAGGGTCATTTTTTGGGTGGAGGTTCGTTTGGATCTGTCTATGAAGGCATTTCTGAGTAAGTGTAATCAATCCCTCTGCTTTCAGCTTTACTTAGTATTTGTTTGTTTATGTATTTTAGCTCTTATTTGTTGTAATAGTAGTAATTTAGCATATGAACATACTAGTTAGGAAAATTCCATATTTGAATCACGAATGAGACAGTTTTGTTGATGACGGATGGCTGTCCATGGCAAAGAGCCCAATTTCGCCTTACCGGCTGCTTTGTGGCTCAGTTATAGCGGATTATGGCGGAAAAACCTGCAATATTGGTCGATATTTATCACTGCGGCTGGCTCAAAAACCGCCACGTACCTCCGCCACAGGGCTACCGTGGCGGATATTTGATAACACTGGTTGGGGAATTTATGACTGGGAAGATTAATTCATTTCAAGAATATTGCTTGGTGGGTTATTTGGATTTGAAGGTAAAATTGGCAAATCTTTGCTGTTGTCTGTTGCTACCCCTTTCAATATACTGGAATGAACACTTTTAGTTTTAGTTAAAGGAGAATGCAAGAAATATACTCTTTTCTGATTTACTACCATTTATTCTCTCAAATTTTCAATTTCAAAATTAAGGGTAACTAACTGTTATAATGAGTAGAATAAGAAAGGGGATGAGCTAGTTGAATCTGACAGGTCACTTTATGCTTGATTAATTACTCAGAAATTGCCAGTTTATATCCTATATTAGGAAGGGTTTATGAACCCTTTCTAGTGCTTTCTCTTCACAAAGACTTCCTTAAGAAATATGTTGGATTGTTCGATTTTATCCAATGCGTAATTTCTTTATACCCATGTATAACCATCCCTTGTTCTATGTGCGGGGTTCATCCTTTGCGTCTGGTCTTGTAAGTTTGATGTGAGATGAAAATCATTATTTCAAAGGGTGTGATCCCTTTCTATTACTTTTTTGGGGCTAAATTTCCTCTACTTTTTTCAACTTTTGGCAGTTCTTTGTCTCCAAGGTGTCCCTCTAATGCACTGTTTTAGTAAACTTTGCTATTAGCCTTTTACGGAAAGATGATTTCTGAAGTGCAATTACATTAATGGCCTATTGGCCATCCTGATTAGGAAATGTATTTGAGCTTTAACACCCCTCAACTGAATAGTGAATTAGGTTGTCCCTGCATGATATAGATTCAGTGAAAGAGACGGCTTTAGTTAAATAGGCAATATCAATGCATTTAAAACTATACTAAATGAAAACTTTAGAAAACGTAATGAAATAGGGGAGCTACATTTTGGGAGGGCAAGGAGACTGTAATTGCTATTTAATGCTAGTTATCGAAGTCTCAAGATTATTTCAATATCGGTATCTTCCTAAGCTGCTTATAATATGTTATACGTTATCATCTGATGTTTTTCATTCAAGTTGAAAGGGAGACATGAATCATGATGCAATAATTGAAGTTACTGCCACTGTGATTAAGATATCCCAAGTTTGAGTTGTCGAATCAGTCTTTGGCAAATGGGTTTGACCCTTCTTTGGATTCTGCTACAACGGGAGATTTATAGCTCCACGTTGCCCGCCCCTATTTTAATTTGAGTTGCTACTTTTTTATTTTGTCTGTATAAAGCTCAAGAACAAAGCTTTTCTCAGTGTGATGATTGTACTTATTATTTACCTGCCTATTCTATGTTATAAGTGATAACTACTAATGCACATCTTCTGAATCACTACAGCGATGGAATCTTTTTTGCTGTAAAAGAAGTTTCATTGCTTGATCAAGGGGATCAGGGAAAACAAAGTGTCTATCAGCTGGAGCAGGTGACAGGCTTACATTTTTTATTTATTTATTATTTTATCACTTATAATACCTTACTTTTCCAAGATTGACCATCCTTTGATGAAGAATAAACGAGAAGTTTCCTTACCTAAATATAATGCCATTTTAAGCAATATGTCAAATTGTTTGAGAGGTTGTTGTCTCCTACTCTCCTTTATGTCTCTCCTACTACGTTTATTTTTTCACATTCATTCTCTTTTCTCTCAGGAAATTGCACTTTTGAGTCGTTTTGAACATGATAATATAGTTCAATACTATGGCACTGAAATGGTATATGGTACTTTCTTCTTATCCAGTCTTGTATTCTTCTTTTGTGCTCACTTTGGTATTTTCTTGTCATTTTCCATTGTTGAATACAAGCTAATTAAATTGCTTAAAATCGAAAAGGGGAAGTAAAATCTTTAATTGTGGAATTATAACACTAATTGTAAGATTATACAAAACTCTAAAACTCATATTTATGCATATAAATTCATGTATATGCATATAAAATCGCATCAGCAAGACAAAGAAAACCTGAAATCACTTGAAATACTTGTGTAAATTTAAATTCATAAGCATAGTTCACAAGTAAGATAATTAAAACCAAAGTTATTAATCCCGGATAGCGGAGCGGAGTGGCCGACCCCCGGGAATGGGAAAAGTGGGAATAACAGGATCCCGGATAGCGGGATAACTTTTTGTATACTAATAATTATATAATAATCTATAAAACATATGTCATGTAATACTAAATTAATTTCACAACACTCATAAAATATTTATAAAATCTAATGTCAAACAAAGAACAATGCTTAATCAAGATTCAAAACATAAAGATTAAAATTCAAACTTAGTACTATCATATGAAAATTCAAGCAAACATAGAAATCATGTAGCGTTATCAAAATATTCCTCCAATTCTTCATCTTCTTCATATTCCTCCGATTCTTCATCTTCAACTTCTTCAAAATAGAAAGAAGCGGTGTTTACAACAAAACAAAATAGAAGAAGTAGAAAGTAGAAAGAAAAGAAGTAGAAAGAAAAGAAGTAGAAAGAAAAGAAGTAGAATAAGTTGAAGAATTAGAAGAAATTACCTGAGATGGCAGAAGGAGATGGAGGAAGAACCGAAGAAGGAGAGTTGCAGGGAGATGGTGGCAGAATCGTAGAAGGAGAGTTGAGGAATTAGGGCACGATAAAACACAGCGAATGAGGGAGAAAGAAAACAAAAACTGTTTTAAAACAAAGGCATTTAAGTAATTTGGCCCAGAAAATTGTTAAAAAAAAAAGAGAATCGGAGCCGCTCCGCCCGGGAACTTCCCGCTACCCGGGAACGCGGCTGAAGCGGCCACTTTTTCATCTCCGCCACCGCACCCTAAATAGCGCGCGGGGGGTGCCGCACCGCTACGGTGCCCCGCGATAGCGGCTGGAGCGCCCGCTATTGACAACTCTGATTAAAACCTTAAATCACACTTCAAATACTTATATTAGTTTAAATTTATTCATATGCATAATCGTACAAACGTTTCAAAGATCATAAGATTATACAATTTAATGATTAACATGAGTGATTCTAATTGACTCCACCAAAATAGGATTATGCGCATAGTCATAATCACTGAGGGAAAGCATAATTATAAAATCGTGGGATTTTACAATTCAAATCGGGATTTTAACTACTATGGTTGAAAATGTGTCGCGCTTTGGTGGTGAGCAAGGTGTTGAAGTACCGGTGAACATCCGACCACACTTGCCAGGAGTATGTGCAGTCTACGAGTTTCGGAAGAAGAGGATCAGAAATCGTAGAAAGAAGTCAGGTACAGATGAGCGCATCCTGTTGTTCCCAATCAAGAAACGCTGGATTCGCACTGCTAGAAACAGGATCGGCGCCGGGAAGAAGACGCGGTGAAACGTTAGGCACCGTAACGTAGCGCTAAAGTCGATGACCACGAATAACGCCATCAATTTGTTGTTTCCACTGTTTGAAGTTCTTCTCATCCAGTTTGACGGAGATGAGATGTGAGAGTTTGACATGAGATGATGGAAAGGCACCCTAAGTACTGAAAGGAGACGCCATGGAAGTGCTAGATCGAAAAAGGAGCTCTGATATCATGTTAGAATTGTGAAAGAAGATGAAAATAGAGGAATCATGTTATTGTATTCCTTGAATTGATTGAGATACAATTGATACCTATATATAGGCAAGAGATACAACTAGACTGTGACTTCTATGACAGCTAGACTTAGTTTGTTACCACAGAAAAGCCCTATTACATAATATCTACATATATATTAGAACGTTAGAATTGTGAAAGAGATGAAAATAGAGGAATTTGGTTATTGTATTCCTTAAATTGATTGAGATACAATTGATACCTATGTATAGGCAAGAGATACAACTAGACTGTGACTAACAGGTCACAGCTATGACAGCTGGACTTAGTTAGTTACCACAGAAAAACCCTATTACATAAGTCTAGTTGTCATAGATGTTAGTCACAGTCTAGTTGTATCTCTTGCCTATATTTAGGTATCAATTGTATCTCAATCAATTCAAGGAATACAATAACAGGATTCCTCTATTTTCATCTTCTTTCACAATTCTAACATGGTATCAGAGCTCCTTTTTCGATCTAGCACTTCCATGACGTCTCCTTTCAGTATTGAGGGCGCCTTTCCCTCATCTCATGTCAAACTCTCACATCTCATCTTCGTCAAACTGGATGAGAAGAACTTCAAAGAGTGGAAACAACAAATAGATGGCGTTATTCGTGGTCATCGACTTCAACGCTTCGTTATGGTGCCTAACGTTCCACCACGTCTTCTTCCCGGCGCCGATCCTGTTTCTGGCGGTGCGAATCCACCGTTTCTTGATTGGGAACAACAGGATGCGCTCATTGCACCTGGCTTCTTTCTACGATTACTGATCCTCTTCTTCCGAAACTCGTAGATTGCACATACTCCTGGCAAGTGTGATCGGAAGTTCACCGGTACTTCAACACCAAAGCGCGACAGCTGCGATCTGAATTACACAATTTGAAGAAAGGTTCGCGTTTGATTGCTGAATTTGTTGTTCACGTACGCGAAATCAGTGAAGCTTTGGTGTCAATCGAAGATCCAGTTCCTCTCCGTAACCTAATTGAGGTAGTTCTTGATGCTCTCCCTGAGGATTACGATCCTATTGTTGCTGCGATTAATAATAAGAAGGATTTCTGCTCGCTTGATGAACTCAAATCGAGTCTTCTTGCTCATGAATCGCGACTCAGGTCTCAGGATCTGATTCAAACTCTGAGTTTCTTATTGACACTAGTCATGTGACTGTAAATGCTGAAAATCATGGCTCCGGTTCACGCGGTGGTCGATATGGTCGTGGTTGTGGCCGTTATGGTCGCGGTTGTGGCCGTTTTGGGAAGGTTTCACGTGAAATCTGCCATAAATCTGGACATGATGCCTCTGTATGTTATCATCGTTACACCTACTCAGGTGCATCTTAGTTTCCCTCTCCACGAACTCCCTTCAATCCTTACATAATGGCACCACATCCCTCTTATCCTCCCTCCTTTGGATATCCTATTACTCCACGGCCAACGCCACCCAGGCATCCTCAACCACAGGCGTTTCTAGCAGGCTCTGACCCTAGCTTCAACAACCAGTGGTGGTACCCTGATTCAGGTGCATCTCACCATGTTACACCTGATGCTTCAAATTTGTTTGATGCTTCTTCCTTGTCTGGTGCAGAACAAGTGTTTATGGGAAATGGTCAAGGTTTGTTTATAAACTGTGTACGTTCTATGAAGTTTCCTTTATCCAATCATCCCAATTCACCTCTAACTTCAAACAATTTTCTGCTTGTTCCTCACATCACTAAGAATCTCACGAGTGTCAGTAAGTTTGCACAAGATAACCATGTTTTCTTTGAGTTTCATCCTCAGGTTTGTCTTGTTAAATTGCAGGATTCTTCTGAAGTTCTTCTTAGTGGCACTGTTGGAGATGATGGACTCTACAGATTTGTCAATCCTGCTTCATCACTGTCCAAGTCTCTTAGTCATAGTTCTTGTAATAATCTTAGTTCAAACTGTAGTTTCCCTTGTAATTCAGATGCTACTTGCAACTGTTTCTCTACTTGTAATCCTGTTTCCCACGTTAATAAAAGTGCTACTTCTATCCACAGTCAATTTCATCCTACTGCTCATGTTTCTCAATCTAACATTCCTAACTCTTATCAATCTGTGGACTGTCCTAATACTATATCAAATAGCAAGTGTGCTCTATGGCATACAAGACTTGGGCACCCCCATCGTCATGCCCTCACACAAGTCCTCAAACTCTGTAACATTCCCATCCCTCACAAACCTTCCCCTGATTTATGTCCTGCCTGTTGCCTGGGTAAGTCTCACAGACTCCCTTCATCTCTGAGCACTACTTTCTACCATCATCCCTTTGAACTTGTTGTGTGTGACCTGTGGGGTCCTGCACCCATTCTATCCTCAGGCAGTGATTCCTACTTTCTCACCTGTGTTGATGCTTATTCCAGATTTGTCTGGGTGTTTCCTCCTAGACTGAAATCTGACGCTCTTACCCAATTCATTCACTTCAAATCCATGGTTGAGCTTCAATTTAACTGTAAAATTAAAGCTGTTCAAAGTGATGGTGGTGGTGAATTTAAACTCTTCACCAAGTACGTTACTGAATTGGGCATTATCCATCGATTTACCTGTCCCTTTACTCATCATCAAAATGGTATAGTTGAATGAAAACACCGTCATATAGTTGAAACAAGTTTGGCCTTGCTTGCTCATTCCAAGCTGCCTCTTAAATATTGGGATCATGTGTTTGTCACTGCAACCTATCTTATCAATAGGTTGCCCAATCCCTCCCTCCAAAACAAGTCACCCAACTACAATTTAATGCACAAATCACCAGATTACTCTAGTCTTCGTGAGTTTGGGTGTGCTTGCTTCCCTTTTCTTCGCCCTATAACTCACACAAGCTTGCCTTTAGATCCCAGGAATGTGTGTTTTTAGGTTACTCCACTGCCCATAAAGGTTACAAATGTCTGGCAAATTTCCCTACAGGATGTACTATTTCATGAGTCCAGATTTCCCTATCTGGACCTTTTCCTAAACCCTGTCTCTACTCCTAATACCTCCTCTAATCCTTCTACTAGTTCTCCCTCTGCTATGTCCTGGTTCCAATATGCTGCCTCCTTTCCTCCTGTCCATCACATTCCTCCTCTTAAGCATGTCAGTCCTGCTGTAACTTCCCCTGACAGACAGTCTTCACCTGTCAGCTTTGCTGTCTCTTCCACTAACAGGCAGTCAAATAATGAACATGATCATCCCCTTGCTGCAGCTACTAATAACCCTAATGTGTCAGGTTCTGTGTCTCCCTCCAACTAACTCAATCTTTCTCAGCCCAACTCACCTTCACCTAATTCTGCTTTCTCTCACTTAGCAGAAGCAAGTACTATTTTTCCTTCTTCCTTACCTTCTTCTGATTCCACTGCTAGTCCTGTCTCGCCTCCTATTATCCATTCTCAAAATGTTCATCCTATGCAAACTAGAGCCAAGCGTGGTATTGTCAAACCTAGGCTTAATCCTACACTTCTCCTAACTCATATGGAACCTACATCAGTTAAACAAGCCTTGACCATCCCTCACTGGTTTGAAGCTATGCAGGATGAATATCAGACTCTTTTGAAAAATCAGACATGGACTTTGGTGTCTCCACCTGCTTCTAAAAGGCCCATTGGCTGCAAATGGGTCTTTCGGGTTAAGGAGAATCCTGATGGCTCAATTAATAGGTATAAGGCAAGACTGGTTGTCAAAGGGTTCCATCAGCAGGCTGGTAGTGACTTTACTGAGACTTTTTCTCTAGTTGTCAAACCTGTGACAGTCAGAACAGTGCTCACCCTTGCAGTCACTAATCAGTGGTCAATCAAGCAAATTGATGTCAACAATGCCTTCTTAAATGGTGTTCTTGAGGAAGAGGTGTATATGATTCAACCTCCTGGCTTTGAAGCAAGTGACAAGTCTCTGATTTGCAGACTTAATAAAGCCTTGTATGGTCTAAAGCAGGCCCCTAGGGCCTGGTTTGATAGGCTAAAAAATTCTCTGGTGCAACATGGTTTTAATGCTAGCAAGTGTGATCCCAGTTTGTTTTTTCTCCACACTAGCAGTTTAACCATTATGGTTTTGGTCTATGTAGATGATATAATCATCACTGGGAATTCTCCATCTTTCATTGCTAGCCTAGTCAAGAGCGTTAACAGTAAGTTTGCTCTCAAGGACCTAGGGCAACTGGATTATTTCCTAGGTATTGAGGTTACTCACATGCCAAATGGCTCCCTTCTTCTTTCTCAAACCAAATATGTCAGTGACTTACTTGCAAAAGTAAATATGTCTACTGCTAATGGAATGCCTACACCTATGATATCTAGCAACAAACTGTCCAAATTTGGCTCTGCCATAGTTTCAGATCCAACACAGTTCAGATCCATTGTTGGTGCTCTTCAATATGCAACCTTAACCAGACCTGAGCTATCCTGTCAATAAAGTGTGTCAGTTTTTGTCCAATCCTTTGGAGGAGCATTGGAAAGCAGTGAAAAGAATACTTAGGTATCTTAGTGGCACTCTTCACTATGGCCTATTGCCTCAGCCTGCCCCTAAGCATCGGCCATTGTCCCTGCTGGGTTTTTGTGATGCTGACTGGGCAGCAGACCCATATGATAGAAGGTCCACATCAGGGGCTTGTGTATTTCTAGGCCCTAACTTAATTTCTTGGTAATCAAAGAAGCAGCAATTGGTTGCAAGGTCTAGTGCTGAGGCAGAGTATAGAAGCATGGCTCAACTGGCTGCAGAAATGTTGTGGATTCAATCTCTCCTTACTGAACTTCATTGCAGATTTCAGACCCCTAAAATTCAATGTGACAATCTCAGCACAATGACTGTAACTCATAATCCTGTTCTTCATAACAAGACCAAACACATGGAATTGGACATCTTCTTTGTTAGAGAAAGAGTTCTAAATAGAAGCCTAATTGTGGCTCATGTGCCTGCCCAGGATCTGTGGGCAGATGCACTGACAAAACCCTTATCTGCTGCCAAATTTCTCCCTCTGCGTGATAAACTAAGAGTATTCAACAAAAGAAATTTGCTTGAGTCACCCTCAGTTTCTAAGGGGGGCTACTATATATATATTATGGAAATAGAAAGGCAGAACTCATCGTGGTTTCTTCAAGCAAACCCTAGTGCAGTCATTATCGTATCTCTAAGGTGAAGTTCCTGCGAACGAAGCGAAGGCATAATCGGATCTTCAAGGTGAAAGCGAAGACAACACTGCTTAGTAGAGGTAAGTTTGATCTCTACGTTTCTGGAAATTTTTAATTTTTGTAGTTAGCGTATTTTGAAATCCATCTTTCTGAAATCTTTGTTCTTCGATTCTATTTAGGGCATAGCTGAAATGAATGAATTTTTGAACATTACAATCCACCACATTGGTGAATTTGTTAATGAGGATCAAAGTATGTACGAAGGGGGGTGAGATCGTCGATTTGAGAGTAGATGCTGATAAGTGGAGCTATTTTGAGTTGTTAGGTGCTATTAAGGAACTAGGTTACGCGGACATAGAGAAAATATATTATAAGGATCCTAATGCTGGGATGAGTTTGTTGGTTGATGACAAAGGTGTCTTAGAGACCGCTGATCTCTATAGGGTTCATCTTAGTGTTGATGTTTTTATTCAACACACATTGTCGCAACCTGATTATGTTGAAGTGACTGGAGCCCTGCTTGAGGAGATACCCTTTAATGAGATAGTAGAAGAGACTGAAGTCTTGAGGAGATGTTGAAGGAAACTAAGTTGAAGGATAATGATGTTAATGAACAGGGGGAAAATGATGTTAGGATGAGTGATGTAAGGGAAGATGATGTTAATGCTAGGGAAACTGATGATAATGGATAAAGGGTTGGTGAGGTTGATGATGAAGTTAGGTTGAGTGATGTACGGGAAACTGATGATGATGTTAGTTCTGATGATGAGAGCTTCAATTATGATAATGCAATGGAGGTAGTATTTAATGATGACTCTGTGAGTATGATACTGACTTGGATGAGGAAGAGGGTAACCTAATTGGCTATGACATTGAAGATGATGACCAAGAGGTGAAAAGCAAAAAAGGTAAAGAAAAGTGGAAAGAAAACAAAGAAGAGTTTAAAGGAAGTGATAATGAAAGTGAGGATCTTGAAAGTGAGTGTGATAATGATGATAGCAGTAGAGTTAGGAGAAAGAAGTATCCAATATTCAAGATTCAAAAGGACATGTCCAATTACGAATGGGAGGTGGGAACCTATTTTAGTACAAGGGAAGATTTCAAGCAAGCAATTACCTTTTATGCAGTCCAATCTGGCAAAATTTAAGGTACATTAAAAATGACTAGATAAGGGTTAGGGTTAGGTGTAAAGATGGATGTGAATGAGAATCTTATTGTTCTAAGTTGTCTAATGAGGATTCTTGGCAACTAAGAAAGGTAGTAGACACTCATAGTTGCAGTAGAGAATATAATGTGAAGATGTTGAAGACTAAATGGTTGAGCAAAAGGATACAAAATTCACTTAAAACCAACCCTAGAATGAAGCTTAAGGACATAAAGGAAAAGGTACAAAAGAAGTGGATGTGGGGGTCAACAAGACCAAGGCCAAAAAATGTCTGGTAAGCCAAAAAAGAGGAGGAATTTAGAGCAAGGTGAGATTGATGACTCTGATAGAAAGATGAGAAGAACTGGATTCCTTGTCAAGTGTAGTAGATGTAAGAAACCATGTCACAACAAACTTATTATTGTGCCAAAAATAATCTAGATGATAAGCAATGAAATGTGGCATGGAGCTATGGGCCCATCTTAAATTTATTTATACTTTGCCTACAAAATATTTAAATTTTGTATTGAGTAAACTCTTGAGTTTGACAACATTGATGATAGGGAATGAAATGTAGTCTACTACTTTTAGTACAAAGGATCCACCAGAGTACAAAACTACATACAATAACTAGCAAGATGAATTTGTACATCTAACAGAGTAAGCTCAAATCAAAATGGGATTTGTTCTTTATACCCTGCTTGATGTTATTGCAGGATGAATCCAAGCTTCATATCTTTATTGAGCTTGTAACCGGAGGTTCTCTTAGAAGCCTCTATCAGAAGTATACTCTCCGAGATTCTCTAGTATCTGCCTATACAAGACAGATTCTATGTGGTTTGAAGTATCTTCACGACCAAAATGTGGTTCACAGGTGACTTCAGAATTTGTATTTTAATGTAATTTTATTTTCTTATATGCATATTTGGTTACCGATATTTTGTGTTAATTCTTGCATCATATGGTATGGTTCCCATTTCTCAAGTGATGCTGTCAAGAGTCTTGTCTATGGTTCTTGCTTTCCTTGTTTCAAATGAACTTCCATTTTTTATTAATGTCTCATCATTGCAATATAAATATTCTTTGTAAATATTTCAGTTTTCTTGCTCTTAATAATACTCTATGCAAATAACGTGATGTATCTGTTTGACTTTTTCCTCTTTGATGTATTTGTTTTATTTTTTCTTGGTATTTGGATTCCCCCCGTGGCAATATCACTTCATTTTCATCACTTAGTATTTGTTGTAGACATATTAGTTTTTATCAGACTTTTTAATACATTGAGCTTTGAATGTGAATTTTCTAATGATTAAATAACAAAAATCACGTTCATCAATATCAGAATTAGGTAAGAGTAAGAGGTTGCGTAGTTACAATGCAATCCAGATTTTTTTCAGTTTTGGAAGTTTTAATTAGTAGAATTTTTTCTTTGGGTTAAGCCCATCATGTCTTTGAGATCTTCTTTGCTTTCCTCTATCAGTTATGTCTTTGAGCTCTTTTCTGCATCCGTGGATCAGTTATGTAATTAGGATTAAGCAATCATCATTAATAATATAATCTAACTATATCTCCCCAATTTAAGGGATATCAAATGTGCAAATATATTGGTGCATGCAAGTGGATCTGTCAAACTTGCAGATTTTGGGTTAGCAAAGGTATTCCTTAGTTTATGCTTTTCTTTCTAGGGCTTTTATTTCTTCAACATCTTAATTTCAGTTATAGGTATCTGAGCAATGTGCAACTACTTACAATTCCCGTTTTCTGATATTGCTCTATAAATTGTTTTTCAGGCAATCAAATTGAATGATGTTAAATCATGCAAGGGGACTGCATTCTGGATGGCTCCTGAGGTTTGCCTTCAATCTTAACTTATGAACGGAAATACTGAATAATGGTTCAAATTTTCAAATTTATTTTATGGAGTGTAAGTCCAACTACTAAGTAGTTTAATCAACAACAATTATGTTAATAACCAGGATGCAGAACTCTAGTTTGAGTTTCTACTCTTCTTCAGCCAAGGACTGAACACATTAAATGCTTCTACTTATCTGTGAAGTTGGTGGGATTCCCCATGTAGAATTCAAAGAAATTATTATTGTGCCAAAAATAATCTTCAGAAAAACATGAGCATTTATTGTGCTAGATAAGTTGAAACAACGAAACTCTTATAAGGACATGTTCTGGCCATATATTGTCCGATGTGAGACTCTTAACACACTTCCTCATGTCCAGAACTGGACATCTGGAGCATGGAAACAAATGATGGGTGGCCTACCGGATCTTAAACGAGGCTTTGATACCATGTTAAGAAGTGTGATTGGGGCTAACTCATCTTTACAAACCGGCTTGTAAGGTGAGGATTGCTCCCACTTAGAAGGACATGTTCGGGTCATATATTGTCCAATGTGGGACTCTTAACAGGGATGAAGAAATTGGTATAATTATTGATAGTGATGTAGCAATCACGCGTTATCTGTTTCAAGAATTCATTGTCACGAAGCTATAATTGGTATTGACAAATCAAAATAGTTAAAGCTATTTCTCCCATATTAAACCTAAAGAAAATGAAATTAAGGGCTACCCTTTGTAGTGGTGGGACATTATATTGTGTCTATGTAGTGACTAGATGTTTTTCAAACTAGAAGCCTTAACATTCTAAATTCATCTTACTTGGTGTTTGATCTCTTAATTTCTTGATAACATAGCTATTGATTATTGTATTTAGTGAAACTAGGGTTTTTGAGAAGTGTACTAAACACAGCTGTTTTGTTTACATGTACCTGATTGCCACATGAGCATAGTAATCACATTTTTATACACCATTAATGCAATGCACACGCGGTGAAAAATGAGTTTATATTCTACTACACTTTTCCGCAAGCTGGAACAAATTCCCAATTAATCATGAATATATACAGGTTGTGAAAGGAAAGAACAAAGGTTATGGGCTTCCAGCTGATGTTTGGAGTCTGGGATGCACTGCGCTGGAGATGTTAACGGGACAAATTCCATACTCCAATTTGGAATGTGTATGTCTCATCTTATTGTTATTTCCTCTCATTATATATAAACCCCTTTCTCCTTTTCTGTATGAAGGGAGAACTCTTAAATTCACAGTTTCAGTTTGGATTTTAATTCCTCGCCTAGTCTTTTAGTTCACGTTGTTGCCTCTACGAAGTGTTTGCTTTTGCAGTTTTGTTAACCATGATTAAACAGTTCTGGCTATCCATTCTGATCCAAATTCCCAACTTTCCTGCTATTTATTTATAAATTAAATTGTGGATTTTGTTTATGTTCTTTTTTTTTTAATGACAAATTGTTAGTTGTTAGTATATATTTACACCCTTGCCAAGACTTAAACTCGATCTCCAACTCCTTTTAACGCTTAACTCAACTGTTTCAAGTCAGTTGAGCTACCCCTCCCACCCAGATTTTGTTTAAGTTCTATGTCCAGTGTTTCCTATAATATAGAATATAGAAATGTTGGTTGGTTCATATACAAAAATGGATACTTCCCATGAAATATTGAATATATCTATAATGATAGCTATCAAAATTGCATTAATGCTGGTAATGACTTTTGATTGATCTCTGCTAACCGCAGATGCAGGCAATATTTAGAATTGGAAAAGGTGTGCTACCTCCTATTCCTGATACTCTTTCAAGAGATGCAAAAGATTTTATCATGCAGTGCCTTCAAGTTAATCCTGATGATCGTCCTACTGCTGCTCAACTCTTAAACCATCCCTTTCTCCAAAGGCCACTTTCACAGTCTTCATCTCCTTACATTCATGGCAGAAGGGTTTAACATTGTCATCTTCAACCATGAACCATAATGAAGGTGAAAATTGTTACATTGCATCTCATTTTGATACTCTGTTTTACTCTTTATATCATGACGACAGCAGAATCTTATAGACATATGTTTTCATAGCTTTCATAAGAATTCCCATTCATAACTAATGAGTAATGAAGCTCAAGTAGATTTTAGGCCCTGCTTATGCTCAAATGATATGAAGCTCCACAGAACCAAGCTATCAACTCAGCAAAGCGCTTATGGATACTTGTCCTCAATATGTTTTCAACATCAAATGTTTCAAAAAATGTCAAACATTCGACTTAAATGCACTTTTGGTCCTCTATTTTGAACATTTTAAACTTTTGATCTCCTTATTACAAAACCCGCAATTCAGGTCCTTAGTTTTAGGATAATTTTTTTAATGAGGTGGCAGTAATGACATGGATAATTTATTATTTAATTTTTATACAACAAATTAATAATTAATTAAATTAAATTTTCTAGAAATTAATTAATTAATTAAAACTTTGAAAATAAATTATGGGCCTCTCAAAAATTAGGGTAGAATGAATTGATTTTTATATCTTTTATGCTGAGAATACATCAGTCATATATACAAGGCTAGAAAGCTATTTTAGAAAATACAATAACACCTAAACTATCAGATCCCTATGATTCAGAGATATTTCCCTCAAAATACTATAATTATAATCTGCTAAGTAAGGAAATAATACAACTGATAAAACACTGATTTTGACAGAAATAATACAACTAATAAAATAGATTCTAACACTCCCCCTCAAGCTGGTGAATAGGTATTTTCCATTCCCAGCTTGAAAACAATCTTCTCAAAGTTGTTGCTATTCAGCCCCTTCGTTAGAATATCTGCAAGATTGTCTTGTGAGGAGACATATGGAGTGCAGATCAGGCCACTGTCTAATTTTTCTTTGATAAAATGTCTGTCAACTTCAATATGTTTGGTTCTATCATGCTGAACTGGGTTATGGGCTATGCTAATAGCAGATTTGTTATCACAATAAAGTCTCATTGGTTCATCCAACTTTATTCTTAAGTCTTCAAAGATGATCTTCAACCACAATAGTTCACATATCCCTTGTGCCATTGCCCTGAATTCTGCTTCAGCACTGGATCTAGCCACCACACTTTGTTTTTTACTCTTCCAAGTCACAAGATTCCCTCCAAGGAAAGTGCAATATCCTATAGTCGACCTCCTATCCACAATCAACCCTGCATAGTCTGCATCTGTATATGCTTCAAGACTTACACTCTTATTCCGTTCAAACAGAATTCCTCTGCCTGGAGTCCCTTTCAAATATTGCACAATTCTTAGTGCAGCTTGTAAGTGAACCTCCTTCGGTTGGTGCATGAACTGTCTGACTAGACTCACAGCGAATGCAACATCAGGTCTAGTGTGAGATAAATATATCAGTCTACCAACTAGTCTTTAATACATTTCCTTGTCAACTGCAGTATCTTCTTCTGCATTTCCCAACTTCAGGTTTGGATCAATTGGTGTACTTGTAGGCTTGCATGCTGTCTTACCAGTCTCTTTCAACAAATCAGTGATGTATTTCTGTTGATATATGAAGATCCCCTTTTTAGAATGAGCCACTTCAATTCCCAAAAAATACTTCAATTTTCCCAAGCTCTTAATTTCAAATTCCTTGGCTGGATGTTGGCTTAACAGTTGTTGCTCCTCCTCCTCATCACCTGTCACTATAATATCATCCACATAAACCAGTAACATTGTTACTCCCCCTGACTTAGAGTGTTTAATGAACAAAGTGTGGTCTCCTTGACTTTGTTTGAAGCCCAGACCTATCATAACTTTAGTAAACCTACCAAACCACGCCCGTGGTGATTGTTTCAGCCCATACAATGCCTTTTTTAGCTTGCAAACAGTGTTGGCAGCGGTTTTTCCACCATATCCAGGGGGCAATTCCATGTAAATCTCCTCTTCAAGTTCTCCATGGAGGAATGCATTTTTAACATCAAATTGTTGCAAGTTCCAACCATAATTAGCCGCTAGGGATAGTATCACCCTAACTGTATTCATTTTTGCAACTGGAGCAAATGTTTCCATGTAATCCATTCCATAAGTTTGAGTGAATCCCTTAGCTACTAACCTTGCTTTATACCTTTCAATGGATCCATCAGTCTTGTATTTTATAGTATATACCCACTTGCATCCTACTGTTTTTTTTTTCCATTTGGGAGAGTAACCAAATCCCAGGTGCTATTCTTTTTTAATGCTTCCATTTCCAAGTCCATGGCTTGTTTCCATTTCCTATTAGTCAATGCCTCAGATAAGGAGGTAGGTGTGGTTGTAGTGTTTAGGCTTGTGAGGAAGGCTTTATGGGTAGGTGAGAAGTTTTTAAATGATAGGTAATTGGCTAGAGGGTAAAGTGGCTTGGTGATACATTTCCTAGTCTCTTTCCTAAGGGCAATTGGAATATCTAGGTCCTCATGAAGTGGTGCTGAACTGGATTCGGGTTCCTGTACAGTGGAAAAATCAGAGATTGATTCAATGGAGATTAAAGGATCAAGGGTAGTTACCTCATGTAATGTTGGGTTGGATTCTTGGACATGGACATATTCTGGAATGACCTTTGTCTTCTTTGTATAAACCAGCTTTTTCCCGAATCTTACATCAGCTCCATCTTGAGTGGACTTAGTGGGTTGAGCCTCTTTCTCAGAAGTTGCCTCCTTCTCAGAAGTTGTTACACTTCTAGTCCCTACTTTTGGTCCTAAACTTAAGTCAGGGAGCATAAGGAGATCATCTTCCTTTCTTGTATTCTCCCCCTGAAGATGATCTTGGTGGAAGTAACTTTCTTGCTAAAAAAAGGTGACATCCCTTTTGGATTTTTTGGATGGTGGGTGATAGCATTTATATCCCTTTTGTGTGGATGATAGCATTTATATCCCTTTTGTGTGGATGAGTATCCTATGAAAACACATTTTAAGACTCTAGGATCAAGTTTACCTCTATCACCACTGTGGACATGGATAAAATATACACACCCAAATATTCTTGGAACAAGTTGATTGGATGTGGACACATTAGGATAGAAAGAAGACAGAACCTCCATAGGACTTTTTGAGGCTAGAATACTAGAAGGTAGTCTATTAATTAGATAACATGCAGTCAAAACAACTTCCCCCCAAAACCTTTTAGGAACCTTATGTTGAAAAAGAAGAGCCCGAGTTTGGTCTAGTAGGTGTCCATTTTTCTTCTCAGCAATCCCATTTTGTTGAGGTGTTTTGACACAAGATGACTCATGAATGATACCTTCCTTTTGGCAAAAGGAAATAAGCTCATGATTAAAGTAATCTTTGGCATTATCGGATCTAATCCTCTTAATGCTAACACCAAACTGATTTTTTACCATGGAGAAAAAATGTTGGACCACAGAGCTGACTTCAGACTTTTGTTTTAGTAAGAAAATCCATGTGACCCGAGTACAGTCATCTATAAAGGTAAGGAACCAACGAGCACCAGAAACATTTGGGACATTTGAGGGACCCCACACATCAGTATGAATTAAATAGAAGGGGAAAGTGCTCATATTAGTACTAACTGGAAAAGATACACGCTTGTGCTTAGCAAGCTCACACACTTCACAATGAAGACTCTCCACATCTAATTTGCTACAAAGAGAAGGCAATAACAATTTTATGACTCTAAAGGAAGGATGTCCAAGACGACAATGATGTAGGAGGACTTTCTCCCTGTTGGTCTTTATTGAGTCAGAGAAAAAAGAGTTGCTATTTTGTAGGTCTGGTGGCAGATTCGGGCTGTCCAAGTAATAATTCCATTCTCTAGCATGTCCAATCGTCCTCCCCGAGTGCTTGTCCTGCAGTATACAAGCATTGTCATAAAAAATAACATTACATGATAGGTCTTTTATGAGTTTTTTATGGAAATCAGACTGGCAGATAATTTAGGAATATGAAGGACATTTTTAAGGGTTTTGGATGAGCTTATTTGAACTTCTCCTTGACCTGCTGCAGTCATCAGAGTGCCATCTGCTATGGATATTTTCTTATTTCTAGGGCAAGGGGTGTAAGAGGAGAAATGTTTAGGTAGGGGTGTCATGTGGTTAGTAGTCCCAGAATCCAGTATCCAATATTGGTTATAGTGTTTATCTAAGGCATTAAGTCCAAAGGAAAGAAGAAACTCACCAAACGTACCTGAATATGCTAGAGAACAACTACCTGTTGGTTTATCCAACTTGTTGAGGAATGATCTCATCTTCTCTACTTCATCTTGGTTAAGTTGAATCACTCCTCCCTTGTTTTCTTCACTGGTTGCAACAACTATGTGTGCTTGTCCTCCCTTTCTTGTGTTGTCTCATTTTTTTCCCCACTCCCTGTCTCGGTTTTGGGGCCCCCAATCTCTACTAGGTGGCTTTCCGATCAGCTTCCAGCAGTTGTCACGAGTGGGGCGAGGCTTGTTGCAGTAGGTACACCACACTCCTTCACCTTTCTTTTCCATATTACTTAGGTCCCCTTATGCTTTCTTCACTCCTGACCATAACTACTACTTCATTAATTCATGGAACTTTTTCTTTTCCAAGGATCTGGGCTCTCACTTGATCAAAAACAGAGTTAAGCCCCACCAAGAAATCATAGACTCTATCTTGCTCAATATACTCTTTGAGCATTGCTGAATCTGCTGGGCACTTGGCTTTTATGACCCTGTAGTGATCTAACTCCATCCACAGTGATTTGAGTTGATTGGCGTACTCTGTAACAGTCTTGTTTCCCTGTTTTGTAGCCATAGTCTTCACCTTTACGTCATATATTTGAGCAGTATCTTTAGCTTTGGAGTATGTCTCCTCCATGGCCTTCCAAATCTCCTTTGCAGAATTAAGAAACATACAAGTATCAGTGATTTCTGGGATCATTGAGTTCCATAGCCATGCCATGATCATAGAGTCCTCTTCGTCTCATTTTTTAAATTTGGGGTCTCCTTCTTTAGGGGCGTCATCAGTCAAGTGGTTAGCTTTCCCTTTACCTTTCAAAGTTCTGCCAACAAGCTGGGACCATTTCAAGTAATTCTTCCCATTCAATCGGTAGGCAATGTTGATGTTCTGCAGCTCTTCCTGAATTTTCTGCACCACTTCATGAGTTGGGTTTGCCATGGCCACAGCAGTACAACAACCTCAATGCAGTGAGGATGTATTTGATTGTTGCGACGACAACAAAGGAACAACACTGCAAATCACAGCAGCAATGAAGGCTGCCCTGAAAGGAATGATGGACAGCAATGAAGGCTGCCCTGAAAGGAATGATGGACAGCAATAAAGGCTGTACTAAGAAAGGATGATTGGCAGCAATGAAGGTTGCCGTCTAGGGTTTTGGTTTGCGCAGTCAGAGACGGCTCCCAGAATTTGAGAGCTCTGATACCATCTCAAAAATTAGGGTAGAATGAATTGATTTTTATATCTTTTATGCTGAGAATACATCAATCATGTATACAAGGCTAGAAAGCTATTTTAGGAAATACAATAACACCTAAACTATCATATCCCTATGATTCAAGGATATTTCCCTCATACACTATAATTGTAATCTGCTAAATAAGAAAATAATACAACTAATAAAACACTTATTCTGACAGAAATAATACAACTAATAAAACACTTATTCTGACAGAAATAATACAGCTAATAAAACAAATTCTAACAAGGCCTAACACCCATTTGGTTATAGCTTTAGCCTAATACCTAATATTAGAATTAACTATGAATAAATCAGCCATACAAAGACTAAATTTATTTGGAAAAAATTCGATGTGGGACTACTATAATAAATAAATCCAAAAAGCCAAAACACTCAAGTTGTCCAAGTGTGCCATATCGGGTTTTTAACAGCATTTAAGATTCTTGATAATTGCGATTTTTCTCTTCATTTCACTTTCTCTCATCTGTTCGTGGCAATGTTACTCCTGAAGCTCAAACACTTGCTCGTTGGATCTCCAACAGTTATAGGAGTGTAACCTTCTTTTACCCCTTCTTTCCATTTGCCCCCATCTTACTTAAACTAACTATATTGTTATGTATTAAACCATGAATCTTATGGTTCTTGGTGACATCCTGTGTGATGATTCCATTTGCCATGTTGAACTCTTGCTCTTCAATATTGTGTTAAGGATATGAAATCAATTTTATATTATCTCAATTGATGAATGGTAAATTATACCCACATCTAAGAACATGTCCTTTTTGGTAGAGCTTGGTATTTTAAACACAATTGTTTTTTACAGTCTTTATTTTACAGGTGCTTTTTGGGTGCTGGGATACTTAAATCTAACAATGAGAGGAGCGAATCTTTGCTCAAGTCCTTGTGGCATCACTATGATGAAATAATGTGTTGTACTCTAAAGGCATATTCAAATTTGATGTCAATTCATAGTATATGTACAAATTTTCATAGTCATGTGCTTTCTCTATACCCAGTGTAATTCAGCTTTCTGATTATTACACTGATATACTTGTTTGAAAACACCTTCTGATTATTACACTGATATATACTTGTTTGAAAACACCTCTGCTCGGAGTTTTGCCATGTTTCAGTGCCATGTTTATTTTGGGTCATTCTTACCAAGTTTTGCACCTGGTAATGTTGGAAGACTCTATGTTCAGTGCCATTTATCTTACTAAAACACATGCTAGTTGTGGATCGAAGGGTTGAAGAGCTTGCAACAGGGGAGTAGACATCGACACTTGATGACACCCTAATATCATCCACACTTGAAGAAGGTATGCAATGTTTATGTCCCACATCGAATTTTTAATAAATAATATGTGTTTACATAACTCATGACATGTTGTCGATTGGTGTTGGATTGAAACTCTAAGTTAATGGGATTAGGCCTAAAAATATTTCAATATTTTAATTATTTAATAAAAAACTTAATTAAGATTATTAAATATTAATTTAGTTAAAAACATATTAATTAATAAAATATCTAGTCATCCTTACTAGCTAATTAAAAATGATTTTTAAATCTTATTCATCACTGCCACGTATGCAAAAGTGGAACGGGACCACAAATAATAGGGGGTCAATTATTTAAAATGTCTAAACTAGAGGGATCAAAAGTGCATCTAAGCCAATATTTTTTTTTTTATATTTTATAAAAATTTCTTTTTCGGAAGCCTTCTCGTCTCCTCTAAACTTCCAAATAAAGCCTTAGAGTTTTAACTAAAAGTATACTAGGATTCCTGGTACACAATACGGGGATTGAAGTGGATAAAAACAAGGTTAAGTCTATCCAAGAAATAAGATCTCCCAAAAACAAGATATGTCGAGTATATTAAGAAAGATTAGTTTTGGCTATTTCTCTTCCCACCCTTATGATGTGGTTCACACATTTGAAAACTCAAAATTGTCCTATGTGTTTTCGAAGATGCATCTCCGAACGAATCATGAATCATTTTTGCTAAAATTTGATTCGAAGATGCATCTGTGAATATTTCTAGGGTGTATTCGAAGATTCATCTCCGAAAACACTCATGAACCCATTTACCAAGTGATTTTCATTGAGATTTATCATTTAATCATTCAATGAAAATTTTTAGAGATGCATTTCCGAAAGTGTCAAGCGGAAAATTGAATATATCACCACCTTGCATGATCATTTCTCTCATACTTCATACCTCTTCCATAACCCAAAATCCTTAAAATATTTCATTTTCAATCAACTTTTCGACTCTAAATCATCATTCTAGTGTTTTATCACATCAAATGGGAGCAAAAGAAGCTCCAATTTAAGGTAAAATCCATTCATTTCATACCTTATTTCTTGCGTTAATCTTGTTCTCAAGCTGAAAAAATGAATGTTGAGTTCGAAGATGCATCTCTGAATTCACCTGCTATATGTTTCGGAGATGCATCTCCAGATTTTCCTGTTACTGTGATTTTTTAAAACTATTTTTCTGTTGTGGTTCGTATTAGATATGGTGCACCAGGTAAGTAATGATGTTAAATTGGATAAGGTGAAGGATGATGTTAAACCAGATGAGGTGAAATATGATGTTAAGCTGTAATACAGTGAGAGAACTGACTTGAGTGTTTTGCGTTTTATCGCAATTGTTGCGGATAGAAGAATCACCACCGACTTTTCTTTTATCCAATAAGGAAAGGGTGAAAAGAACATGAAAGACCTTTGAGATATTTTCTTGAGTTCGGGGGTAGGTTATGAAAATGGAAGGTGTTAGCATCCTTTTTATCCATAGTTATCTATGGGCTCTTAGTTGCCTCCTAGATCACTTTTGAAATTGCTTTGTTTGAAATGTGTTTGTGGTGATTTTTTGAAAGTATTTTGAAAAGCGTATTCGTTTAGGAAAATTTTATAATGATTCTCGTCTCTATAAGAATGCATACAAAGTGTTAGACTTTTTGAAAATACTTCAGGTAAATTGTTGGTGTGTTTTGAAAGATGTTTTGAAAATGGTTGTTAGCAAGCAACTATGAACGTTCTATCTACTCGAAAAGTCTTAGTTCTTTTCCTCCTCATTTATATATTGTTATCTTACCATTGATTGATAAGAAGCAATATCTTTAGATATTGCTATCTTACCATTGATTGATATTGCTATCCTGAAAAACTAGTGTTGTTAGAGTTCGATCATAATTGAAAAATCGTATAAAATACATCTTGTGTATATACCAACTTATTGTTATCAATCATTCAATTATTCATTATTGAATAATATGTGAGTTTTATGAATTGTATATTTGTCGACGTGATCAAAATTCAATAAAAGTACAATCTTCATTTTTTTATTTTAAACCTTCCGCGCACAATTTTGGAAAACCCCTGATATTCTAGTTTTGGAAAATTAGTGAAATTTTCAGTCTATTCACCCCCATCTAGACTATTTCCCTACTCCATATTCTCACTCATCACAACATATATGTTTTCCTTTGTGAGCGGTTAGGATTCCTCCATGAGGATCCAACATAGACAATAAGCTCTATAGGTAAGAATGAGTCTTCCATTAAGATCCATCGTAAGTTATCGCCTTTATGGACAATTTCAATGGGTTATTTATTCTACTATTTAGCTCTTGCAAAATAGATCAACAATATTCCAACATTTATATAATAATATGATGGGCCTCACCTGAAACCCTTGCGCATTAATACCAACATACGAGAAAATATTTTTCCCCACAAAATAAAGAATGTCTAGAAAATTAACCATATTGTGATAGTTGTGAGAATTGACTTGGATGTTTTGCGTTTTATCGTAAATGTTGCGGTTAACAAGAGTCACCACCGACTTTTCTTTTATCCAAAAGGAAAGGCTGAAAAGAACAGAAAAGACCTTTGAGATTATTTCTTGAGTTCGGGTGTAGATTATGAAAAGGGAAGGTGTTAGCACTCTTTCATCCGTAATCATCTATGGGCTCTTAGCTGCTTGGTAGATCACTTGCTTTTGTTTGAAAATGTGTTTTGTGTGGTTTTTGAAAGTATTTTGAAAAGGCGCATTCGTTTAGGCAAACTTTGTAATAGTTCTCGTTCGTAAGAACGTATACAAAGTGTTGAGTTTTTGAAAATATTTCATGTTTGGTAAATGTTTTGAAAGTGTTTTTGAAAATGTTAGGTGTTTGTTTTAAAAATAAGCAAGGATGTTTGTTTTGAAAATGAGTAAGCAACTAGGAACAATCTACCTACTCAAATGTCTTAGTTCATTTCTTCATTTCCTTTGATATTGCTATCTTACCATTGATTTGGTAAGAAGCCTTATCTTTGGATGTAAAGGGACGGGCGTGGATCATCGTATAACTATGATAACAATGTTGTGAGATATCTTAGTATTTTTTTTAGGGACTAAGATCATTTTGAAAGGTAACATTGATAGCGTCATCGAGGGACTATGATCTTGTATTTTTGATTTATTTTTGCTAAGACATCTTACATGCATAACATGACCATTTTTGTAAGGCAACAAAGTGGAATTACCCTAAAGATGTAAGTGTGCAAGTGTGTTTGATTTACAGACATTGTTTATCTTGAATTTGGGTTTGCTACTTGTTGATTTTAATCTTTCCATACAAATCCTAATTACTAGTATTTATATAAAGCGATAAATTGCGAAAAAATTACTACGCTATTACATCATTAGGGGAGGGGGTATACAAATTTACAAATGGAAATTAGGGGAGTGAGAGAACTGACTGTGAGTTTTGCGTTTGTTTTCGCAAATGTTTCGGTTGAGCAAGAGTCGCCACCGACTTTTTATTTTATCCTAAGGAAAGGTTTAAAAAGCACAGCAAAAACCTTTGAGATGTTTTCTTGGGTTCAGGGAGTAGATTATAGAAAGGGAAGGTATTAGCACCCTTTCTATCCATGGTTATCCATGGGCTCTTAGTTACTTGCTTATATCACTTGCCTTTTGTTTTCAATTGTTTGAAATGGTGCTTTGTGTGTGTGGGTTTGAAAATTGTTTTGAAAAGAAACCAATGTGGTGGCAACCTTTGTAATGATCCATGTTGGGATGTATACAAAGATGTATGTCTTTTGAAAAAGTTTTCATTTGTTTTTGAAAGTTGTTTTGAAAGTGTTGTGAGGTGTGGTTTTTAGAAAATAGGCAAGTGTTTTTGTTTTTGCAAGTTTGATTCAAGTAACTAAGAGGTTATCTACTCCTAAATTTCTCAAAGTTTATTGCTATGTTTTAACCCTTTTAACAAGTTTGTTCCACCATTGTATTTGGTGGACAATCTCATGTTAGGATGTGAAAGGGACGGGCGCGGGTCATCGTTTAGACCATAATTGCAATGGTGTCAAGTATCTTTGGGCAATTTTTCTTTAAGGGACTTGATCATTTGTTTAGGCAACTTTTTGAAAGCGTCATCGAGGGACTATGATCATTTGATTTGTGTTTGTTTTGCCCAAAGAGACCTAACATGCAATATGGCCCATTTATTGAAGGCAACAAGTGGAATACCCTAGGGGGTGCAAGTGTGATTTGTGTGTCCATTTTCATGCTTGTTTATCTTGAAATTAGGTCAAACTATTTTCGTTATTTTTTCGCATACAAACCCTAATTCTAACATGGTATAATTAGAAAGCAATAAAGTGCGGAAACTAAATTTACTAAGCTATTACAACACCATATATGGGAAGGGGGGTACAAATGTTCAAATGGGGATTTTGACAATGAATTTAAACCTAAACTATTACATCAATATTGAATTATTTACAAGATATTTATTTGCACAAATTAAATGAAATAAGAATAAATATGCAAGATGCAAAAATGATTTTTGTATATATGGAAAAAAAAGTATTTTTATGTATCAAAATAAACAAAAAGAAAAGTATTATTTTTTTTGGGAGTTTTCCATGTTTAGGGTTAAACCCTAATTCTATTAAATAAAATGCATTATTTATTTATTGTGTACAAGTATTTATTTATTGTATACAAAAATAAAATAAAATGAAGTATATTTGTCAAAAGATATTTTTATATTAAATATTAATAAGAAAAATAAAAGTGTGTATATTTTGTAATTTAACCTAAATATGTTAATAAATATATATTTATATATGTATTATTTCAAATATGTATTATATATACAAATTAATAATATTTGATATTTAATAAAAAAAAGTATTTTTTTTTTATATAAAAATATTTTCAGAAGATAAAACAAAATAAAAATGAAAATAAAAGGTGTTTATATTATTTTAACATTTTTAAACAAAACTATATCTATTTATTTATTTATGTTCAAAAACTAATCTAAACAAATAAATACCTAATAAAT